GGCCACTGCACTCCAGTCTGGGCGACCGAGTGAGACTCAACCAAAAAAAAAAAAAAAACCACTTCCAAAGAGGTGGGCAAAAAATGACATCAGAAAGTTTGGAGTAGAAATTTCACTTTAGAGATTACCTTAGAATATCTATCCTGTGCCCTGTACTGTTCTAAGCACCAAGAATCCATGTACAGGTCAAAGCCCACAACACAGAGGCAAGAAAGTCCTCTGTGCAGAGTCCAATAACAGGTATCTTAATATCTTTTGACTTATTATTTTTAAATATAGAAATGCTGATTCTGAGGATTAATTCCTTTAAACAGTTTGTAAATCTCTTTTGAATTAAACAGAAAATTACAAAATATTAACCATGGTACAGCAGAACATAAATCAGAAACTGAGTTTATATTTCCTTTTCAGTTTAAATGTGGAGAGGGCAAGAATGTGAACTCTATAAAGAGTAACCCATTTTCAAAATTGGGGAGACATGTTCAATCACAGAAAAATGGCTAAGTGAAAGATGGTATATGTAACATACTCCATTGTTTTTCTAAAGAATATTTAATGACAGAGAAATTCTTACAATTTTATTGTGGGTGAAAAGAGTATATAGACCATAACTCAGCACTGTGCTGCATATGATAATGGCAAACATTTGTTTTCAAGTTATTTTGCCAGGTATGATACTGTGCGCTTTCACTTAATCTTTTGAGGTAGTTACAAATATCATCCCCATGTTAAAATTGAGAAAACTGAAGCACAGAGGCTAAGTAATTGATCTGAGGTCCCAAAGAAGCAAGTCATAGAGCTGGGATGTAAACCCAGTCTTTCACTTCAGAGCTTGGATTTGTAGATAACACACGATGTAATTCAGAAACAGATGAGCAGCTGGGTCTCTCTTGATCAGAATAACTTTACGTGACTACGATCATACTACCCTGAACATGCCCGATCTTGTCATAACAACCTTACGAGAATTTACAAAAAATGAACATTGGAGAATCCTTCCCTTCCTGTCACTTTCTATCCCTTCAATTTTCTTCATAACTCTGAGTATTACTTGACATCATATAAGAGCTCACTTTCTTCTAAAAGTGTTTTCCATACGTCTTTTTCCCTTAAAAAATCATTTATTTTTATTGACTCGATCCCACTAGAATATAAAATCTACAAAGGAGGAAACTCGTCGGACTCATTCTTTGCTGTAACTCCAGTGTCTAAAACATGAGACACTCAGAAACATTTGCTGAATGAAATAATGAATTAGAGCCGGGCTCAGTGGCTCAGCCTGTAATCCCGCGCCTTTGGGAGGCTGAGGTGAGTGGATTGCCTGAACTCACGGGTTCGAGACCCGCCTGGGCAGCGAGACCTCATCTCTACAATAAATCA